GAGAGTCAAACTGAAAGGACACAGGGAAGGTGTGGGAGTCCACAGAAGTTTCCTAGTGAAATCTGAGCTTGCTTTACTCAGCAAAAAGACTGACCCTGTCTCGAAAAACCAAAAAAAAAAAAAAAAAAAAAAAAAAGGGACGACTGTACCACAGGTCCAGGTACCAGGTATTTGGAAGGGTCTACATTTGACTGTATCTAGCAAGAGGGAAGTCTTTTGCATCACCCCTTGGCATTGTTATAAATAGCCCTTTTGAATAAGGTTCTGGGCTGGTGAGATATTGATCCAGGCCCTCCCAAAGCTAGCCTGCATTTCTGTCTTCTGCCTCTTCTCGGCTAGGCCTATCTACAAGTTCCTTATTCCTCTCTCCTCCTCATAGGAACCCTGGAAAAGGCAGGAGCTGGCCTCCCATAGTAAGGACAGAGTCATCAGGAGACTTGGAAAAAAGACTTTTATGCATCAATCAGGTCTAGTACAGGAAAACGCTAGAAAGAATAAAAAAGAAAATCCTTCTGAAAGAATACTTAACACTACTTGAAAGTCATGGATCACCCCACTGATGAGCCCAATAGTTATCATCTTTCTCGTTTTCTTATTTTGTTTCTGACTTTTCAGATTCACCAACTTCCTAACCAAAACTCTACCAACTTTCACTGGCCAGGGGGTTGCAGAATTCTCATGGTAGAAATGGGTAACAACCACTGTCTGACATAGATACAACCTCTATGGGTCACCTCCACCCCTCTACTCCCAAATCATAGATCTTTGCCTCCAACTGGCAAGAAAGTCCTTCCAGAAATAACCTTATCCCCAACCCCTATGAAGACCCACCTATAAAATTCCCTGCCCTGGCCAGGCGGTGGTGGTGCACACCTTTAATCCCAGCACTCGGGAGGCAGAGGCAGGCGGATCTCTGTGAGTTCGAAGTCAGCCTGGGCTACCAAGTGAGTTCCAGGAAAGGCGCAAAGCTACACAGACAAACCCTGTCTCGAAAAACCAAAAAAAAAATTCCCTGCCCTGAACCTTCTCTAGCCCAGTTCATATCCCTTCAGAGTTGGGATATGTTGGGCTAAACTTAGTTTGACTTGCAGACGTTCTACTCCCCCAACCCTGGTCAAGGAACCTTCTGCTGGCTGGGAGCCTACTGGACCACCACCACCCTCCCAACCTACTCCCCGCGCCCTGCTGCCCGTTTTGATAAAACCATAACCGGCCCAGAGTCAACACTGCAAATCCCCTACTGAGCACACTACCACCACTACAAGGCAAGGCTGAGGCCCTTGCTGTTCCAATAAACAGTCTCATCCTGTTGGGATGGAGTCTGTCTTTTCCCTGCCTTACCTCCCTTGGACAAGAGGCAGACATGTACCAACCCCACCACAAGCACCCCATATAGGATATGTATTACTCCACAAGAAAATACTCTGAAGGTGAAAAGTGTTCTTGGGCTCACTCTGCACACCACCTCACAGTCCCGACTGCGAAGGCAGCCATGTGTATTTGGGCAACTGGGAACCTGTAAACTTACTCCTAGATTCTAAATATCAGCATATAAGCTACCTGGAAATATGAAATTAAAGAAATCCATCAAGGAGCTAGAAATAGTAGAGATTATTCACCCAGACCAGAGCCCTTTCTACAGCTCAATACCACCTGGGAAACCACACACACAATTCCCAGAGAATGACAAATTATAGCATTAACTATGGGAGATCCCAATCCACGCCACTGTGCCCTACACTGCTCTTTGATTGAACAATTGATAGAAGTCAGTATCTTCCTGTTGTGTGAAACTGTACTAATACGTTTTTCAGTATTGCCTTGGCTCCAGAACCTCAAGACTGATTTGCATTCACTTGGAACGGTCAGATGTGGCGGACCTTCAGAGAACTCCCTAGAGTAACTTAATAGTCCTATTGCTTGTTATGGCATAGTGGCCCAGGACCTTGTTTTATTAGCCTGCCAACTCTCTGAAGAGGTTTCACTACAAAAATGACATAACGCTAACCTGTTTTACAGATCAGAAAAAAGCATCTAAACAGGCAGGTGCTACAATGAGGCTAGATCAACCAACACAAAGTACAAAGGCGAGGCACAGCTTTAAAGTCTTGGGAGTATTATGGTCCAATAAGACTGATATGACACCTGACAATGTAATTGAAAAAGTCCTACAGCAGTGATCACTCACGCTGGGGTGGGCGTTAGTGATTTGGGGAGGAAAGGAAGAGATGAAGTCCTGAGTGGGTGTTGTTGACATGGGCACAGCACATCAAGGACCCCAATGCTTCAGACCTATGACAAAGCCTTCCTTGGCAGGGCTCAGAGGAATGGCGAAGCTTTGCTTGGTCCAAGTACCAGTGTTCATTCACCACAGATTGACCACTGTATGTAAAAACTATTAGCCTGAGCTTCCTTCTCCAGGATGTTTACAGTCTGAGACTGCTCCCCTAGGAATCCTACACTAAGATTAGCTGGGCCTGTTTCCTTCAGATGTATACAATGAACCCACCTCAATTCAGATGCATAAAATAAAGTTTTCTAGTTGCTGCTAGTTTTGGCCTGTTCCCATCAGATGCTAGATTTTCTGTATGTATGTCTGGATTATCATTTCTTCATTTCCTGTGTGTCCCCATCCCCCACAACCTTAGGTCAATTTCAGTCATTTCTGCTCTTCATCCGCATTCCTGTAAGTCACCTCAATAAAGCTCATTGGGTCAAAGTCAGACTTTACTGGTACCTTTACTTCTGCCTTCTGTTAGTTCCCTATCTGGGGCGAAGAGACGTTTCTTCCCGTCTTCCCAGGGAGTGTCACACACCATAACTGGTACCCTAATGTGGATGTACAGACCAAAGAGGAGTTGTAGAGGAGTAATTCTGTTGTCCTGGCCATGGACATCAGTATGAAATCAGGAGCCTGAACAGCTTGAGTGTAGAATTATCTGGGGGGGAGAGGTGGATTACAGAAATAAAGAAATGACAGATTATATCACACAGTTACAATGACAAAGACAGCCTGGTTCTGGGACAACCAATCAAACACAATTAAGACCTGGAAACAGACCAACAAAGTTATAGCCACTTAACTTATAACAAAAGTGCCTAAAACACACAATTCAAAAAGCTTATTTGCTAGGCAGTGCTGGCGCACTCCTTCAATCCCAGCACTCAGGAGGCAGAGCCAGGCTGATCTCTGTGAGTTCAAGGATAGCCTGGTCTACAGAGCGAGATCCAAGACAGGCACCAAAACTACACAGAGAAACTCTGTCTCAAAAAAACAAAACAAAACAAACAAAAAAAGGCTTATTCAACAAATGGTGCTACCATACCTTTCATCCTATACAAAAACCAACCAGGGCTAGGCAAGGTGGTGCATGCATCCAAAAATAATGTTTGAGAAATCAACTCAAAGTAGACCAAAGACCTTAATTTAAAACCTGAAGTTGCTCCAGGAAAACACGGGGAATGCGCTTTAAGATGTTAGTGTATATAAGAACTGTCTGAACATAATTCCAACAGCACAGAAACCAGCTCGGAGAAAACTGTAGGGGCTACATGAAATTCAAGTTTCTTTGCAGCAAAAAACACAGAATGCGAGAAAAATCTTTACCACCTATACTCAGACAGAAGGCTAATATCTAAGATTTACAAAGAACGGAAAAAAATTAAATACCAAAAGAAGCAAAATTTCCAATCAACAAATAAGCTAATGAAATGAACAGGTAGTTCACCAAGGCAGAAACACATCGACGGCAAGTATTTAAAAAACAAAAAACATTCAGGAGGGCAGTGGTGGTGCACACCTTTAATCCAGTACTCAGGAGGCAGAGCCAGGTTGATCTCTGAGTTCGAGCCCAGCCTGTTCTACAGAGTGAGTTCCAGGACAGCCCAGGGCTACACAGAGAAACCCTGTCTCAAAAAAAAAAAAAAATTACAAAGAAAAAAGGCAAAAAAAAAAAAGGAAAGAAACTGTGTGACTATCTCTAGCCATCAGGAAAATGTAAATTGAAACTACCTCAGTCAAAATGGCTATCAGGAAATCTGACAAATGCTGGACAGGGTGTGAGGAAAGAGAAATCCTATTCACTGCTGATGAGAGTGCAAATGAGTTTAGCCGTTATGGAAATCATGGAGAGATTTCAAAAAATTAAAACTAGATCTACCACATGACCCAGCTACACCATTCCTGTACCCAAAGGGCTCCATTTACTAGCAGAAAGACAAGTGCACATCCATGTTTCCTGCTGCTATATTCATAGGAGCAAAGACATCCAGCCAGTCTAGATCTACCAAGAAACAAAACAAAAATGTGATACACACACACACACACCAGAGTATCATTTAGTTGTGAAGAAAAATGAAATTTGCAAGAAAAATGAGTCTATCTAAAAAGTGTATTAAGTGACTCAAAATTAGACAAAAACTCCTATGTTTCCTCATATAGAGATCCCAGCCTATAATGTATAACAAAAGCAAACAGGTATCAAGTCTTAAAATCTAGGAAGGAAATCAAGAGAGTAGTAACTTGATAAGGACAGACAGATGGGACAAAAGGATAAACAGGACACAGAAAAGGAAAGGAGTCTGAGTGGTAGGCCACATGAGGAGATGGGGGACCAAGGGTGGGGAAGATGGAGGGCATATTTATTCAAATATGTCGATAATGGCGTTCACTTTTTAAAAAGCTAAACGGAGCAGCCTTGTGGTTTTGTAGACAGACACAGTAACTAGTAACTGACATGGTACGGTCACTGAGAAAATCCTGCAGCAGCCTGTGGCAATGGATAGGTTCTGGGGTACTGGTGTACCTTCACACCTCACCCTTTCAGTTGCTCAGCCCTGCATAACTTGACGGGGAAGCATGAAATCAGAACACAAGGGAGCTTGAGGTTTTAGATAGGGTCTTAATGTGCAACCTAGGCCAAGGTCAGCCTTAAATTCTCAATTCTCCTGCCTCAGCCTGAGTGCTAGGACTATAAGAATGTGCCACCAAATGCTTTAAATAGTTTTGTAAAATATCGAGTTTATTCATTTTTTGACAATTTCATACATGTAAACAATCCATCTTGATCATCTGTACTCCAACACCCCTTCCATCTCCCCCAACATGACCCTCTTCCCTCAGAAGTTTTGAGTAAACTAAGATTCTTGTGGGACAGCTTAAGCAACTGTGTGCCTACTGTCCTGAGGCCTACCCCACCTGAAGAGACAGTTTCAATGGGTTTCATATCCCTGTCATAGAGAGGAGTATAAGCTAATATCCACAACACTGGAGCAACTACTTGACAAAGAGGGAAACCCTGGAGCAGATGGAATACAGCAGAGTCTGTCCGCTTCACTGCCGGTAAAACCAGCTATCTGAAAAAGATTGTTGGAAAGCTTTGTTCCAAGTCTCTAATAAGGTGCCACAAAATGACACCACAGAAATGGCACAAATACTTAAATGGCAGTTGATGTTTCAATAAAGACACATGTGCATAAATGGTGCTTCCAGCAACCATAAAGTTGTTAAATAAAAACGCCAATGTGAGGGTGGTCTACCTTCCCAGGAGTTGTTAGCCAGAAAGACAGACCCCAGAGGTCCCCACACTATACTGACTATTGTCACTATCCCCCACTGAAGACGCCACATGCTCAGACTTCAGGAGACTGGAACACCAACCTGGGCTTAAACCAGGATACACTACCCCATCCTCTGTCGTTAGCCGCCAGTGTCAGGGGCACTATTCAGGCCACAAGGGGGAGCCTATTCCTACAGCCTGGCTTTGCTAGGGATCCCAAGTGCTCCATTATCTGCTTGTTACACAGGTAACAGCAAATTCAGTGTTGGTGCAATCAGCACAGGTAGAGTCAACATTCTCCCAGCTGTCTGTCCAGCCCACTCCATGTTAGAACTCTCCGTCAGGTCAGAAACCCCGGGGATCAAATAAATCACACATTCAAACAATGGCAAGACTATCACCACTGCTTTGCTAAACACAGATGTACCCCATCAACTACTGTGGTGGTTTAAACGAGAATAGTCCTTACATTTGAATGTTGGGTCCTAGTTGGTGGAACTGTTTAGGAAGGATTGGGAGGTGTGGTCTTGTTGGGAAAAGGGGTGTCACTAGGGGTGGGCTTTGAGGTTTCAAAAGCCCATCCAGGCCCAGTCTCACTCTCTGCCTCCTGTTTGTAGAGCAGATGTAAGCTGCTGCTACAGAGCTCTGCCTGCTTACCTGTATGCCTGCCCAGAGGCCTGCCCACACTCCCCGCCATGATGATCAGACTCACCCTCTGACACTATAAGGAAGCACGCAACTAAATTCTCTATTTTACAAGTTGTTGTGGTCATGGTGTCTCTTCACAAAAATAGGAAAGTAAACTAAGACAATTATCCTCTGAACTATTTATGTGCATTGGAGTCATACTGCAGCTGCCTCTTCTTGCACTGGGCGGCAACCACTGTAGCCCATGATGATGATACTCTGACTACTACACACATGGTGAACTCTCTCTCTAGTCAGGTAGGTATGCCATGAAACATTTTGCTCCCTCCATCAGTCAAAGTGAAGAAATTTCACAGATCTCCCCACTATCAACAGAGCCCCTCCCATATGAATAAAAGCCCAATATGACAATCCTGTTCTAAAGGTGAGCTTCTGGTAGAATGGGAACCCATAACCTGGCCTAACGTGCTACCTTCTGGGCATCATGAAATTGGACCTAATCCCGACATAGGCATTTATGATTATGACCCATTGTGCCTAGAAAGACAGAATGAGAGACACACTACTATTAGTAGATACATGGATAGAGCTGTGCAAGGGTACTACAGGTAAAGCAAACCACATTTACAGGGCTTTCTACTCCTGTACGAGGGGATACATCTAGAGCCACTCCTCCAAGTCCCTCTCTGAGCTGTCAGCCAACTCCTATCTATAACCTAGCTATTATCCCAAAGCAGCCACTAACCACCCATCGAGTGTTCGTTATGCAAACCTAAGAACACCCGAGAACCTTCCCCGACCATCTCACCTTCATTCACGATGTAGGCTGTCCCTCAGGATGTTCCCATTTGCCACCTTTCCTCTTTGAGCTATGACCTAACTGAGTATGCTCAGGAGGGAATGCATCAGTCTCCAACATGCCTTCCCTTTATGATTACATACAGGCTTCCCAAATAAAGTGCCCACTGTTTCTTTGTTGGGGAGCATGTCCAGTGTGAGAACAATATATAACCTTTGTTCTCCTGTACATGGAAATAAAAATGCTTTACCCTTAGCCGGGCGGTGGTGGCGCACGCCTTTAATCCCAGCACTCGGGAGGCAGAGCCAGGCGGATCTCTGTGAGTTCGAGGCCAGCCTGGGCTACCAAGTGAGTTCCAGGAGAGGCGCAAAGCTACACAGAGAAACCCTGTCTCGAAAAACCAAAAAAAAAAAAAATGCTTTACCCTTTTATGCCTCAGCTGTGGTCTTGCAGCTTGGCACTCACCAAGATGTGAAGTCACTGTCTTTGTCACAGGAATACCCACTTTCTGTATTTAGTCATTAGGCAGGAGCCCTAGTATCAGCAATCTAAGCAAAGCCCTGGCTAAGTTTATTTTCAAGTTCCAAACCACACCTACACAGATGCTTCTTAAACCAAGAAACCTGGATATTGGAAAAACAGGCTACAGACTGGCTCTGGGTATATGCACAGCTGATCTGTGTGTGGACACTGGATACCAGAAAACCCAGTTAAGATGGGATACTTCCACAGACGTGCAAGATGTTTTTGACCACTGGCTTAGGTCACTACCATGGGGGTATGTGCCCTTCTGACTGCCTGTATCACTTAAGGAGTATGCATCCATGGCTGTAGTCTCTCCTCTTGTTTTGGCACAGCAGCCCAATGGCTCAGTTCTCAGGGGGGAAGATGAGCATAATACCTCTTTCTAAGGCTCAGGACTATGGAAGAAGGTGCAGACAGAGCTGGAAGGTGGGAAACTGGGTCCAGGCCTCATAAACTGTCTTTAGAGACCCTGGCTCAGAGGAGGCAAGGATGTAAGCATCAACCCATGGAATGTCAAACCACCAGGAAGTGAGAGAGCTGTTACCATGTCCTCCAGGTAATGGGCACGCTCCTATGCTCAAGTAGCCTCCTGGAGGGATGGTTCATTCTCCCACCTCTGGCGCTTGCTAGCTCTGACAAAACACAATCAAGACTGGTGAGTCAGAACAGCTGCCCACGTCACCCACCACTCTGTAAGCTAACTAACTGGAGAACTGGAGTCATTCTTTCAGCTGTCAGTACCATCACAATTTGAAGACAATGTTTACATGAATTCATATACATATAGCAGCACACAGTGATACAGCACAGAGATTTGTAAACACTAAACCTCTTTACAGCAAGAGCTCAGTATGCCTTTACAGGATCTGAATGCTGTCCATTTACAAATCTTTAAAAGGCAATTTTGGTTTCCTTTAATAAAATCTAGCCACCATCACACCTTAAATGGCAGGAGCCATTATCCTGGGCTGGTCTCTAATACCCAGTTCCTATATAACAAACTGCAACCTGCTTTGGTATAGAAACAAACCAAAACCAAAACCTTCAATTTGGAAGCAGGAATGTTCTAACTAGTAGCCAGATTTTAGTGTAGATGGGCTTCACTGAGTCACAGGCCACACTGTTCAGACCATGTCAACTTAGGCAAATGCCTCATGTAACCAACCAATCAAAAGTTATCTCTTCCCTATTTCCCTTCTCAGTACCCAAGGGCGCTGCCCCCTCTGTAGTCAAGATCGAAACACTTCCTATTTAGAACACACCTGGACTTGCAAATTTTTCTTTGTGACACTGAAAGAGCATCACAGGGACCCTGGACCCATCACCCCAGAAACCACCTTCCCCCAGTCGCAGGTAGGGAGGACCTGCCTCTTTTCACTGGCCTATCTCACTGCTTCTTTTTTTTACTTGCCGGACTGTCTAAAACTTCAATCTTGCCTCTGCCACCTTCTGCATTTGGAAGCTTTATGGTGTCTATGGTGACTTCGGAGGGGACGCAGTCTTCATCTGCGGACTCTGAGCTGTCCTCAGGGCCGTCCTGTGAGCTCTCTTCTGAGCTGTCCTCTTCTTTTGAATCTGACCGGTTCATCTCAAATAAGGCCACATCCTGTAAGAAGTGTCAGGTTGAGAAATCTACTTCAGAGCAGTTCTGTAACATGTTCTAATAAAGCAACAGCTAGTGCCGGGTTGTGGTGGCGCACGCCTTAATCCCAGCACTCGGGAGGCAGAGGCAGGCGGATCTCTGTGAGTTCGAGGCCACCCTGGTCTACAGAGCGAAATCCAGGCCAGGCACCAAAACTGCATGGAGAAACCCTGTCTCAAGAAACCAAAAAAGATAAAGCAGTACAGCTGGCTCCAGGGGAGGCTCGGCGGGTCGAGGTGCTTGTCCAGAGGACCCCAGTTCAGTTCCCAACACCCACGACCAACTCCAGCTTCAGGAAATCTAACGTTCTCCTGGTTCTGCTGACCCCCATGGGCACCCACATAGGTGCCAGACACACTGACGTGCACACAAAAAATAGTTAATTCTTAAATAAAGGCAGCAGAGGAAGCTATCAATATCCATTATAAATTCTGGAGCACAGATTGGGCTGTATGCTTAATATAAATGGCACGTCCATGTTCTCAGGTGCCAGAATACATCGTAAGCGAAGTTTGAAAGATTGATTTTACTTATGCCTTTAAAAACACTTTTCCTGCCGGGTGGTGGTGGTGGCGCACACCTTAAATCCCAGCACTTGGGAGGCAGAGCCAGGTGGATCTTTGTGAGTTCGAGGCCAGCCTGGTCTACAAAGCGAGATCCAGGACAGGCACCAAAACACCAGGGAAACCCTGTCTCAAAAAAAAAAAAAAAAAAAAAAAAAGGTGTGAGTGCCACCATTTAAAAAAAAAAAACAAACGCTTTTCCTGGGAAGGAGAGATGACTCAGCAGTTAAGTTTACTGGCTGCTCTTTCAGAGGACCTGGGTTCAATTCCTAGCAACCACATAGTGGCTCACATCTGTAACTCCAGAGGATATGACACCCTCACACAGACATACATGCAGGTGAAACACCAATGCACATGGAATTAAAAAACAAAAGGGGTCTCCTCTTGCCTAGTACACAGCCAACAGCACTCTCTCAAAAATGGACTACAGCAGTGGTTCCCAACCTTCCCAATGCTGTGACCCTCTAACAGTTCTTCACGCTGTAGTGACCCCCAGACAGGAAACTATTTTCACTGCTACTTCATAAATGTAATTTTGCTGTTACAATCATAATGCAATATCTGTGTTTTCCAATAGGCCGGTCGAGACCCACAGGTTGAGAACCACTGGCCTGGAATCAGGCACTACACTGGACACTTCAGACTTAAGTGACACATCTACAATCCCAACCTGTAACCCCAGCAGTGGGGATAGGCAGGACTGACAATGAGGCCAACCTGGGCCACAGGTAAGGGCTGCCCCCAACCCACTCCCTCAAAAACACTCCACAACTCTTGCCTTAATGGGATTTACATTTCTGAGCAAGGGCCAGCAAATTACAACCAGCAGGCTAAATCCTGCCTGCTGCCTAATTTTGTTCATCTCTTCAACTAAGAACGGTTTCTATACTTTCAAAGTGACAAAAAGAGGGGAAAAAGTATTGAAAAATGAAATAAAAAATGAAATTGTAGCATGCCACAAGCTTCTGCCACCACAGGCTCCCTCAGGCACAACTTCCCACCATGAAAAAAAATGGTCCCCTTGAACTCTGAGCCAAATATATAGCCCTTCCCTTAAAAAAGGGTTAGTGGCCATCACTGTACCAAGCCCTGCTTCTTTGTCAACGTCAACAGCTGTGCTCAGCACTGAACAGCACGTAAGACAGGGTAACGTGATTCCACCATCTTGCCCGTGTGAAGGTCTTCACAAACTTTAAATTAACATTTTATTTTAGAACAAAATTTCAAAGTATCACTCTTTCCCGTTTTGGTGACAAGCACACTAACTCCATCCCATGAAACAGAAATAGGGCACAGTTACCATCTGTATGATGTTTCCGGATGTCCCATCAATATTCTCAATATTGAAGCAATCAGCTGGAGCAGCCGCCATTTCCTTTCGTAGCTTTTCATTTGCCTGGGCCATCTGTGGGAGGAAGGCCTGAACCTGGTCTAACACTGTGGAGAGCAAACACAGCATGCAGACGTGTTAGTAAATCCCAGACTCCACAACTCCTGGTCGAACACTTCAGAGCAGAGCAACAATAAATCCATCCACTCTTTTGTTAATAATTTACTTTTATTTTATTTGCACTGGTGTTTTGCCTCCAGATATGTCTATGTGAGGGTGTCAGATCTTGGAGTTATAAACAGCTGTGAGCTGCCATGTGGGTGCTGGGAATTGAACCCCGGTCCTCTGGAAGAGCAGTCAGTGCTCTTAACCACTGAGCCATCTCTCCAGCCCAATCCATCAACTCTTAACATCCGTTTGCTTCTCAGCTGCCTTGGGTCGGAGGGTGGGTGGGGGTAGGGGAGATCGCTGGGGATTGAACCAGGGCCTTACTTTTGCTAGGCCAGGGGCTCTGCCCATCAGTTATACTCCCAGTCTCTATTTGAAACTCCCAAAGCAACAAGATCACACAATTCAGCAATTATTACTCAAATGTTTTGTGTTTCTCTTCCATCCTGAAAAGTATAAAATTCTACAAGGCTGGCATTCAACAAGGTGACTGGAAAAAAAAAGCAGAATGACCTAATGGTCTTTACAGTAAGGCTGTCGAGGTTATTAATGAGGTCCCATTTCTACTTTTTACTATTTCAGTTACCTGGAAGGTGTGTCACCTGCCCAACGTCTACCCACCTTCACCTGCAAGTGTCAACACCAGCCATCTTCTTTTTGGCAAAAGGCTTGCTATGTAGCCTAGGCTATTTCACAACTGGCTTCCAACTTCCCATCATCCTGCACAGACCGTGCCCTGCCCTTCCTTTTGAGCTTGGGTCATTACTGTCTTCTCTCATCCTGAACAAGCCTATGTATTCTGTAGTCTTGTCCACCAGAATCTGCCCTGTGGCATAAGCTAACAGGGTGTTCCAGCCAAGCCAGGAAGTGGTCAACTTGGGAGCAAAAGAGAAAAATACCAAGTAAGTGATGAATGTGGGTCTGGAACTTCTCATAAAGCAGCCAACTCTCCACAGCTGTGGAATAGCCATCTTTAGATCAATCCAACACCAAGAAAGCAGAGCTGAGAGACAGGCCACAGGTGAGGACAGCAGGCATCTGGATCCAGATGAACTTGCAGTTTCTGACTGGGTTCTGTCATCCCAAAAATGAGCCAAGTTTTCCTGGTTTTCTCTTTAGGCAATCTGAGCTTTCACTCAATTTGCAATTCAGAATTCTATTTAATGCATCCAATTTCACCACCATCCTGGTTAGTTTAGTCAACTCCACACCAGCTAGTCATCTGAGAGGAGGGACCCTCAACTGAGAAAACGCCTCTGCAAGACCCGGCTGCAGGACATTTTCTCAGTGAGTGATCAGTGGGGGAGGGCCCAGCCCATTGTGGACGGTGCCATCCTGGGTTCTAAAAGAAAGCAGGATGAGCAAGCCATTAAACAACACCCCTCCATGGCCTCTGCATCAGCTCCCGCCTCCAGGTTCCTGCCCTGACTTCCTTCAGCAATGAACAGTAAGTGTAAGCCAAATAAACCTTTCCTCCCCAAGTTGCTGTGGTCATGGTGTGTTCTACCACAGCAACAGAAACCCTAACTAGGACAGAAACTGGTACCACAATAGTGGGGTATTGCTGTGACAAACCTGACCATGCGTTTTTAGGATTGTGGAAAAACTTTGGAACTCTGGGCTGTTAAAACGATTAAGTATTCAAAGTTTGGTGACCTGTTCTGTGGGAGTCTGGAAGATAAGAATGCTGAGAGAGCAATGCAGATGATGGAGGACTGGCTTGAAAAGTTTCAGAGGTCAATTTAAAAGTCCTTTAATGACTCTGTCTCTGTCCCCCAACACCATAGGGGTTACAGGTTCATGTGGCCACACAGCGTTGTAAGTGGATTCTAAGTGTTTGAATTCCGTTCCCCGTGTTTTCTTAACAAGCACTCTTATCCTGAGCAGTCTCCTAGAGTAAATAACTGCCAGGTGTGGTGGCACACACCAGTGTAGGCAGAGACAGGAGTATCTGTGTGTTAGAGACTAGCATGATCTATACAGAATGTCCTAGACCAGCCAGGGATAAACACGGGGAGACTATCCAGGAGCAGAGAAAAAAGGAGTAACTAAAGCTAGACATGGCAGGAGTAACTGTAATCCTAGAATTGGGAGAGGTGGGAAAATCTGGAGTCAGGATCACTCCTGACTGAAGTTTGAGACCAACCTAGACTATGTGAGACCCTGCCTCTAAAACAAACAGATAAATATATAAATAGCTAGGCCTTTTAGTGAAAGCACATACATCACAGCTATTTGGTAGAAGGCAAGAAGATCTCAACTTTATGGCCTGCCTGGGCTACAGAGGGAGTTTGGGGCCAGCCTAAGCAACTTAAGAGACCCTGTCTCAAAACAGAAAAATTCTCCTGGACAGTGGCAGCACATGCCTTTAATCCCAACACTTGGGAGGCAGAGGCAGGCAGATCTCTGTGAGTTTGAGACCAGCCTGGTCTACAGAAAGTTCCAGATCAGCCAAAGCTACACAGAGAAACTTAGTCCTGAAAAACAAAAGAAATACAGAAAGGGCTGGGAATACAGCTCACCACGAGAGTGCGTGCACAGCCTGCCGAAAGTTCTGAGTTCAAGTTGTAACACCACCACCAAAAACCAAGGCGGAGACAGAAAGATCTTAACTGGACTTCTGAAAATAAAGGGGACGGGCCCATTACACAGACACTGATGACTTTATGAAAGCTATTTCAACAGTATCAATGAGGAGCACGTTTATCAGCGTGCAATTCAGCAATATTATCGTGTGATTAATGAAGGGGGCTGGCTCTGTTAGTTTGTATTAACAAGATTTACCATGTAAAGCTGTAGGGGGACAACTGATGCTTGCAATCCCACAACTCAAGAGGCTGAGGCAGCAGGGTCACAATGAGTTCAAGGCCAGCCTGAGCTACATAGGGAGTTCTAGTGAACTGAAGCCTTTAGAAGACATGAACTAACGTGTGTTCACCCTAGACAGGGCTCTAACGACAGACTAAAGCAAAGACGCCCCCAAAGAGCAACGTAGTGAGCCAGTGAGTTTATTGGGCTTACTCAGAGCAACAAGAGTGGCAACTCATAAAAGCTGCCTCCCTGCAGCTCCCTGAGGAGTCACAGGCAGCTAGGCTTCACTAACTATTACTGTGGATGTAATCCTTAGGGAAGGGGTCTTGGGATTCCTGCAAATTTACTTCCAGAAGCTTGTTTACTGTCTATATCCTTTTTTTTTCTTTTGTTTTTTCAAGACAGAGTTTCTTTGAGTAGCCCTGGTTGGCCTGGAACTCTATCTGTAGTCCAGGCTGCCCTCAAACTCAAGAGATCTGCCTGTCTCTACCTCCCAAGTGCTGAGGTTAAAAGGCGTGCACCACCACTGCCCAGCTTCCTTTGTTATCTTAAAAGTCTCTTTACACTATTTAAGGAAATGTTTTAATTTAGGAGGGAATACTTCAATTCTGAGGACACTTCTATGCTATACAGACTGTCACAACAACAGTTAACCAATAGTGGTGTTCTCCATAGCCAAACTTACTATTCCAAAATGTGAACAATAAGTCCTTTTTTCAAACAAGTGAAGTCTTGATAACTGCCCAACTGATCTCCAACATGTTGCAGTTCTCCAGCCTCAGCCTTCCAACTGCAGATGTGTGACATCTCACTAAGCCAGAAACATTTTCAGTTAAAAAAAAAAAAAAAATACTCTGAAAAAAGTGCAGGCAGGGGACCAAGATGAAAAATTCTATTCCTTAGACAATGACACAATATTAGACTTGATGTATTTGACTCTACAGTTTGATATGAGCCATGAAGACAGACTATTCCATCAAATAAAGACTAATTAGCTGAAATTAGGGGAGCGCCCCCTAGACGGGAAAGGCAGTACTTACAAGGGCTCCTCTGCATCCTAACTGTTTGAAGAGAAGTCTTCTTGGAATGAGGCTTAGAGCTGATGAGCAATTGGTCCCAGATACCTGAAAATACACAATTTACATCATAAATACACTGCAACTCAGTGCTGGGATGACCCTCAGCCCTGCAGAACAGTGAGAGAGGGACATCAGCAACAGCTCCTGTGACTGTCTTCAGTCAGGACCACATAGTAACATGTCTCAGCAGCTGCTCTTACAAACACCAGGGTTTGATTCCCAGCACCTACATGGTGGCTCATATTGGTCTGTAACTCCAGTTCCAAAGAATCAGACACCGTGGGACTTCTTCAGGCACCAGGCATTAAATAAATAAAAAGTTTAAATAATGAAGTTAACAGAACGTGGACCTGCAATGATAGTCTTCACAGAGTTTATTTAATTAAAGTCAGAAACGGCAGGAGGTGATGGCACGTGCCTTTAATAGGCAGAGGCAGGCGATTTCTGAGTTTAAGGACAGCCTGGTTTACAGAATAAGTTCCAGGACTACATGGAGAAATCCTGTCTCAAAAAAAATAAATAAATAAATCAGAAATTGGGCCAACAAAGAGGGCTCAATGGACACAGGGGCTTGCCTCCCAAACCTGAAGACCTTAGTTCCACCCACTACCCACATGAAAGGAGAAAAGAGCCTCCCCTCTACATACCTGTGATCATAAAATAGAACCAAAAAGTTACAAACTATGTAGAACTGTAGAACTGGGCAAACTGAAACACACTGAGCACGTTTCAGCACCCTGCAGCATCCCTGGTCCCCCAAGCGTCCTGGGCTCCTCAGCATCCCGCCCCGCCCCCCCACCGAAGTGACCCGAGCTCTGCAGTGTCCCTGGTACCCCAGCCAGGTTCCGGGGACCCCCCGCTGCGTCCCCAGTCCACCCACAACGTCCTGGGCTCTGGTAGCCCCCGGTTCCCCAGCAGAGTCGCTGGTCCCCGCCCACAGCGTCCTTGGCTCTGCTAGTCCCCGGTCTCTCCACAGCGTCGACGGTCCCCCGCAGCGTCCTGGGCTCTGCAAGTCCCTGGTCCCCCCGCAGCGTCCTGGGCTCTGCTAGTCCCCGGTCCCCCCGCAGCGTCGCCGGTCCCTCCGCAGCATCCCGGGCTCTGCTAGTGCCCGGTCCCCCCGCAGCGTCCTGGGCTCTGCTAGTCCCCGGTGCCCCCGCAGCGTCCTGGGCCCTGCTAGTCCCCGGTACCCCCGCAGCGTCCTGGGCTCTGCTAGTCCCCGGTCCCCCCAGCAGCGTCCTGGGCCCTGCTAGTCCCCGGTACCCCCAGCAGCGTCCTGGGCCCTGCTAGTCCCCGGTACCCCCAGCAGCGTCCTGGGCTCTGCTAGTCCCCGTTACCCCCCGCAGCGTCCTGGGCTCTGCTAATCCCCGGTCCCCCCAGCAGCGTCCTAGGCCCTGCTAGTCTCCTGTACCCCCGCAGCGTCCTGGGCTCTGGTAGTCCCGGGTCGCCCCACAGCGTCGCCAGTCCCCCCGCAGCGTCCTGGGCTCTGCTAGTCCCCGGTGCCCCCACAGCGTCGCCAGTCCCCCCGCAGCGTCCTGGGCTCTGCTAGTCCCCGGTCCCCCCGCAGCGTCCTGGGCATTGCTAGTCCCCGGTCCCCCCGCAGCATCCCGGGCCCTGCTAGTCCCCGGTCCCCCCGCAGCGTCCTGGGCCCGGCTAGTCCCCAGTCCCCCCGCAGCATCCTGGGCTCTGCTAGTCTCCAGTGCCCCCACAGCGTCGCCAGTTCCCCCGCAGCGTCCTGGGCTCTGCTAGTCCCCGGTCCCACCGCAGCGTCCTGGACCTGCTAGTCCCCGGTCTCCCCGCAGCGTCCTGGGTTCTGCTAGTCCCCGGTCCCCCCAGCAGCGTCCTGGGCCCTGCTAGTCCCCGGTACCCCCGCAGCAGCGTCCTGGGCTCTGCTAGTCCCCGGTCCCCCCGCAGCGTCCTGGGCAGTCCCCGGTCGCAGCGTCCTGGGCCCTGCTAGTCCCCGGTCCCCCCGCAGCGTCCTGGGCCCGGCTAGTCCCCGGTCCCCCCGCAGCATCCTGGGCTCTGCTAGTCCCCGGTCCCTCCAGCAGCGCCCTGGGCTCTGCTAGTCCCCGGTCCCCCCGCAGCGTCCTGGGCTCTGCTAGTCCCCGGTCCCCCCCGCAGCGTCCCGGCCCCGCCAGCCCAGCCCTGTCCCCGCCGCCGCTCACCTCCCGAACCCTCGCTCCCCGCGGTCAGCAGCTCCCTGGACACAGTGACCTGCGCGCAGTCTCCAGAAGACGACGAAGCTGTGGGACCGGACACACGCTCGCCGTGGAGCTCCATGCTTGCAAGACAGCACAAGAGACATGAACCCGGATAGACGAAGGTGCGGGGGCGGGGGGCGGGGCCAAGGCGGCAATTGGCGGAAACTCGGAGGTGGGCGGTGACAATGGGGGACAGGGCGGAAGCTCGTGCAGGAGGCGGGGCTGGAGCCTCGGGCAGGCGGGGCCGGAAGCGGGGGTGGGGGAGCACACAGCGTGGGCGGAGCGTTGCGGAAGCACGCGTCGGGGCCTGTTCCTCCCCCGCCTGGGGATCTCCCTTGTTATTGTTATTGTTGGAAAAGCGTCAGCAGGGCTTGGTTTGGTAAAAACAAATTCAAGCCGATGAACGTAGTGTGAGGCCTTTGTTATTTTATTTTTGTTTTTGTTTGGGGAGATTTCTGTGGTCTTGAGTTGTGGCAATCCTGCTTTAGTCCCTCAAATGCCAGGATTATAGGTGGGAGCCACCATAGCCAGCTGCTCTATCCTGTTCTTAAGAAAAAAAAAATTATTTTATCATACTGGCCCAGGTGGGCGTCAAACTAACCGTTTTCCTGCTTCAGTGTGTACTTAAATCTACCGGCACCCATCACCATGCTTGATTTAAATTATTTGTTAAATGAAGCTTCACCAAGTTACTCAGATTGGGCTGGTAGTCAAGGTAGGGCAGCCTCATAAATAGTTTGCTTTACAGACCTTGACTACCAGACCCCGTTAAATGTATTATTGAATTGTAAACACAAAATTCAGCATTATGAGTACTGTTTACATTGCTATGCAACAAGCCTTCCAAACAGTTTTCACCTAAAATCCTAAAAGATTGTCCCAGGTGGTAGTTAAATGGTAAAGTGTGTAAGGGGGGGCCTGAGTTTGGTCTCCAGCACCAAAACAAACAATTTTTTAAAAAGCTGAAACTAGACACATTGAACAGCAAACCTGATTCCTCCTTTTTTCCTGACCCTGGTACCCAGGTTCTGCCTTCTCTTTCCATATAAACAGAATCATAAACCACTTGTTTTTGTGACTTTTATTTCACTGAAAATAAAACCTTCAAGGTTTACTGGAAAGGATTCTTTCTATTTTGATGTTGAATAATATGTCATTGAATTATGTACCACATATTCTTTGTGGGGAAAGGGATTTGTTTGGGAGGACAGGATCTCAATATATAGATATAGATATAGATATAGATATAGATATAGATATAGATCTCCCAGGCTATAATGTTCAACTCCAGGTTGTCCTCAAACAATCCCAGTGTTGAGATTACAGACAGACAGGCTTTGTACCAGGGCTAGTTCAACAGCACATATTTTTTTTTAATCTTAGATATTTGAGTTCCACCTCATGCCTGCTGTGAACAAGGAGCTGCAGTGAATATGTAAAAGTTACTTCAATCGTTACTTTAATTCCAGCACTCAGAAGGCTGAGAGGCAGGTGAGTCTTTGTGAGTTCAAGGCCAGCCTGGTCCACATAGCAAGAGCTAAACCAACTGGAGCGGCAGGGTAAATCTGTGTCTCAAAAAACTGTGTGTTGGGGACGGGGGTTGGGCACATGGCATGGCATGAGTGTAGAAGCCAGGACAACTTGAGGGAATCAGTTCTTTCCTTCCACTTTGTTGATCCTACAAATCAAAAAACTATAGACGCCTTTACCTGCTGAGCTATCAACCAGCCCAAATAACACAATTAAAATATGATCAAGCCAGGCAGTAGTGGTGCACGCCTTTAATCCCGGCACTCGGGAGGCAGAGCCAGGCAGATCTCTGTGAGTTCGAGGCCAGCCTGGGCTACCAAGTGAGTTCCAGGAGAGGCGCAAAGCTACACAGAGAAACCCTGTCTGGAAAAACCAAAAAAAAAAAAAAATATATGATCAAAGGGCTTGAATATGCCGAGCAGTGGTGGCACACACCTTTAATCTCAGCACTCAGGAGGCAGAGCCAGGTGGATCTCTGTGAGTTCGAGGCCAGCCTGGTCTACAGAGCAAGACCCAGGACGGGCACCAAAACTACATGGAGAAACCCTGTCTCGAGGGGAATAAAAAGGCTTGAATATATATTTCTTTTCTTTTCAAAGGTGGGAAAATTTTCGTTGTTCATTTCTTGCATCCAAAATACTCTTCAATGACATCTTTAGCCTGAAATTATTTGTCATAGTCCTTCCTCATGACAAAACTGCAACCGATCACTTGAACATTTGTCTTGGGCCACATCTGAGCTCCCACACACCATACACAGACACACACAAGTACAGGAATGCCCCCAAACTGGCTGAGGTACTAGAGAATATGTTACGCTCCCTGAAAGTAGTACGCACGGGATAGGGACCCAAGTGGGCTATGATGGCCTCTGCCTGGCCTGTGCTGCAGTTAAAGAGACATCCGAATGAGGCTGTGCTATCTGCCAAGAACTGTTCCAGGAAAGACGTGGATGCGTTCCTCCACACCGGATGGAGCTGGGGGTGGAAAGGGGGAGGAGGAGCCATGACATCAGTCCCCTTACTTCTGCCCCTGATTTCTGGGATCACAGGCTTTTGCCACCATCAACTCCATTGTTTTAGTTTGTTTGTAAAGACAAGGTCTCAAGTAACCCAGACTGGCCTCAAACTCGCCATGTAGCCAAAGATGACCTGATACTCTTGTCTCTACTCACCACACCTGGTTTATGTAGTTCTAGGGATCAAACCCAGGGCCTTGTGCCTGGGAGCTACACAAGCACTCTGCCAACCGAGCTACATCCCCAACCACTGTATTGTTTTTTAAAAAGTCAAAACAATTTTGGTTATTTCCATACCTTTTCAATTTTTCTCCTGAGTAAAGCTTCTAGGATCCTGTCCTAGGACAATAATGCATTTTACACTGGCTTTTCAGCCTCTGCTCAAAAGTACTTATAAAATACGTTGAGAATTAGGACACTAGCCCTGCATTCTGGTAGAAATGTTTACTACAATGCACACACACTGTAGAGGATGGAGCCTACCTCTAGGTGGAGACATGCCCTTGTCTCCTCTTTAAAGAGTTAGTCCACTGGGGTAGGTGAGGACTTGGCTAGCAGACAACCACTAGGAAGACTGGTTCATCTTAAGGTATTTTGTTTTCCTGTCCAGAATTCCCACCCCCTAACATGTCTCCACTAGCTGAGCTGCCTTGCGGTGCCCCCAAGTCAGCCTGCCTTTCTGAGGCCTATTTCTTCTATTTTTTTTTTTTTTCAGATGCTGACCAGAGGATATGCTTTGGGTGTCTTTATCTTTTGCAAAGCTCCCCTCCAGGGCATGTGGCTCCATGCCACTGTGTGACTGACCTCCTTGAGGCCTTATCTCAGGCAACATGGGATTTGTTCCTTCTCTTCTCCATTCTCCTCCTTTCAAGCTTGGGGGTTCACCTGGAGTTTTCCTTTTAAACCTAATAAATTGTCCCCAGCTTCTGTTGGTGTCCATTCTTAAATGATTTTACTAACAAAACTAAGAACCCTGAGGAAGGTCCCCGATTTCTCAGATATTCTGTAACAGCTCTGCTGGGATTCCCAAGGTTTCAGTAACGTTCCTTTCCTGTCCTTTAATTCTTCAATTGGCAGAAAAGACTGTTCCTGTGACTCTGGACTGATCAAGACAACACAGCAGACGTGAGCTGGAGCAGGGCACATACAAGAGTTGAGCTGTGGGAGAGGACCGGCTGAAGGAGAGGACCAGCTGACGCACTTGTTTTCCCGGTTGGCAAACTGTGTACAGCTTGTACTGTTTCCTTTCCTCATCCTACAGCTGCAATCTCTTTTGATCTATTTCCTGTTGAGAATGTTTTGCAAGTTTACACAAGATGATTACAGGCGGGTATAGGCCCTCCCAGTTACAGGCCCTATCCAGGACAGAGAGGTCTCCATTATCATAAAATAAATACCTTCACGTGGTCATAATATCTGCTACTCCCTTTGAAATGGCCCAAACAGAACACTACACAGTGGGTATGAACTTCAGATTTATTTAGCCAAGAACTTGGAAGGGATAAGGCCAGAGATGGCTCGTGGAGACCTGCTGTGGGCAGTTACATACATCTTTGTACCTCTTTGCTTGCAGGAATTCGGCAGAGTACAGAGCTCCTGCTAAGTCCCTATTCTTCCATTCTTCTTCTTCTTGTTTTGCTATAATTACTTTTATAGATAAATTGTAAAAGCAATGCTTGTATTCCTACTATGCAGATTCCAAATGGGTGCATTTTGCCTCTTTTTTCTTTTTGATGGGGGTGCACTAGGAATTCAACCCAGGAATTTTTTTTTTTTTTTGAGACAGTGTCTCATTGTGTTGCCCTGGCTAGCCTTGAACTCACTATGTAGTGTTGAAGTATATTTTATCACACTGAGAACCCCAAGATTGTATTATTTACTAGAAAAACCTGTTTCTAGTTTTGGTGTGGCTCAGCTCTAGTATACACCTTTAATCCAAGAGCTTTCTGCTTGAATATTGTAAACAGGATTAAATAAAGTCAACCCATAGGTCAAGAGGCAGAGCAAGCAACCAGTTTACAGGAAAAAAAAAAAAACATAGAGAATAAGAGAGAGTCGGGAGGACACATAGACCCACAAGAAGTAAAAGGGAGGGACATTTAGTTTGAAGCATTTTGTTAGAGATGGCGTAGGAGAAAGGCCGTTTTTTCTGGGACATCAGCAGAGGAGGGTCATCTGGGTGCCCACTCTGCCTCTGAGCTAGCAGATATTCACTCCAGCGTCTGGTTCCCAAGTCTTTTTGGTAAAATCGAACAATTGAGATGTAGTTAAACCACAGTGTAGACCAAGCTGGCCTTGAACTCACAGATATATACTAGCCTCTGCCTCCTGAATATTGGGCTTTAAAGGCCTGCTCCACCACACTTGGATTTTTTTAAGATTTTTATCTTTATGTGTATTAATGTTTTGCCTGCATGTAAGTGCACTCCATGTGTGCATGATGTCCTGGAGGCCAAAAGAGGGAGCCATATCTCTGGAACTGGAGTTTACTTGTAGTTGTGAGCTGTCATGTGGATACTGGGAATTGAACCTGGGTCCTCTGCAAGAGTCGCTAGTGCTCTTACCTGGTGAGTTAT